TCTTTGCAATTATAATTTTTGATATATTACCTCTCTTCTTTCCTTTTCTTTGGAGAAGGGATGATTTCTTATGTTTTTCTTTTCTTACTTCTTTGTATTTCGCTTTCTTCTTTCTTTTTCCAGTTATTGATTTTTTTTTTGTCCTCCTCTTTTTTCTGCTTTAACTTGTGTATTTCTTTCTTTTCCTTTTATGGTAAAATTAAATATTTCTTTCTTTTCTTTTTATGGAAATCTTTCTTATGTCTTTCTAATTTTTTAAGAATATAAAAAGAAGTGATGTTTCATAACTAGCATTTTTTTATAACTATCTTTGATCGCCACCTGATGAGATGATCGAATTGGGCAACAAAACAAATAAGCATTTTTGTAGTGGTAACTTAAATGTTCGAATTTAATAACTTATAATAAATAATTTTTGCTCTACTTTTGTATTGAGCTCTCTTTTAAATTATGTTATGAATATTTCAATTTATATTCGTTTTGTTCTCTTTAAATTAGGATATATATATATATATATATATATATATATGTTAATTCCGTAAATTCAAAATATTTATAAGAGAATTGCGCCCCAAAATAATTTCAATCAACTATGAGTATAGCAACAAAGTTCTTAAATATCTGTAGCAGCAAAGTGTTACATATAAAAAATAAAAAATTAAAATACTACAATTAAAAAATCTTTTCATAAAAAATCACATAAGTTACCTCCCTTGAATAGCATTGAAAAAATATTTTGAATTTATGATGTTAACACATTACACATCCATAGATATGCAACCCCTGAAGATGGTCTCAGATGAGTACTTGGGCAAACAAAAATTATTTGAAAAAAATTTTGGAATTTTCCTTGATCATTTAAATTAATTAAGAAATTAATCTGAGGACTTTATTTAACCAAATATTCTTGGATACATACATACATACATATATATATATATATATATATATATATATATGTTAATTAATTAATATCAGGCACTATTTTTATAGCTTTCATGAAATAAGGATTATTACCTATGGTATTTTAAGTGTTTGATATTCATTAATTAATAATTTTTGCTCTGTCTCAGACATAGAGCTCTCCTTGGATTTTTATCCTCTTAGAAATTCCATATAGATTACAATTTTAATTTATTATTAATATATATATATATATATATATATATATATATATATATATATATATATATGTAATCTAAGAAAACCTTAAAGATTTATTTAAATTATAATTTATTTCGTGAATATATTCATCTCTTCAGACTGAAATCTCTTAGTAAATGGAGACAATGCTCAGGATTGATATATTAGATTGACAGGGGGAAGGGATAGCAAGAGAGAAGATAAGAGAGAAGGAGGGGAAGAAGAAAAGTGACATATGGCAAATCAGTTATGTGCCATATGTGCATGTATCTTTCAATACATGACTGATGATGCAGATTTTGTTCCCGCAGTAGGTTGCCATTTCTTTCTGCAGTAGACTATCTAAGGCTATAGAACCCAGTCTGTCCTGCTATTTACCCATAGCTGGGAGGAGAAGAGGATTCATACTTTTCCCAAAGGTATTAGCATGTAAGTGAATGTAATTGATTCAACTGGAATTCGAACTCAGCTCTCTGATTCCTCAATCTGAGCCACTATTCATTACTCCACCATACCTTCTGATGGATGGTCAGGTTCTTTTAAAAAGTGATATAGAGGGAGGGTAAGGAAAAGAAAGAAGTAATGAATGGGTAGTAGTAAGCCTAAAATAGACTGACCCGGCCAAGAATTTTTCCCTTAATGTATGGAACTTTGTAAACTACAAAGCAATGTAGACTACAGAGGAATGGAACCTGTATCCTATACAGAACCATTATATAGCCTGACGTGCTTTACCGATTTAGCCACAAAGGAGCGTTTCAGTTAGCAAGGTCGATTTTACTGTTTTTAAACTACAATTCTCCATGATTCAATTCCTGTCAGAGGACGCATATTTTCTATGAAAATTTCTCAGACATTCAGGCCGATAAATGTCGTTAATACTGTTTATTATAAACAGAGCATTTACTTAAATATTTGTATCTATAAAAAGAACGTATAATCATAAAAAAAAATGTCTTAAAAAAATTGTCGGATTTTGTCTAATTCATAATATATATATATATATATATATATATATATATATATAATCAAGAAGAAAACCTTAAAGGTTCATTTTGGTTATAATTTTTCATGAATATCTATATATTCCTCTTTGCAGACCGAAATCTCTTAGTAAATGGAAACAATTCCCCAGTCTGATATAATAGATTGATAGGGCAAGCAAAAGAAAGAGAGCAGAGAAGTAAGAAAGAAAGAAAGAAAGGAAGAAAGAAAGAAGAAAAGTGACGGATGGTCAAGTTCTTTTAAAAAGTGAGATAGAGAGAGGGAAAGGAAAGGGAAGAAGGAAGTAATGAATGGGTAGTAGTAGTAAGCCTAAAATAGACTGACCTGGCCAAGAATTTTTCCCTTGAAGTGTGGAACTTTGTACAGCAAATTGACCGATATGAAATGTTATTTACGGCAGAACAAACCAACCCAATTCCAGATTAGTTAATCTAATAAAAGTCTCCTTAATGCAAATAATAAATAAAAATTACAATAATGATATTAATATTAAACATCAAACATAAGTGAAATTATTTTAAATACAGATGAATAAATAAAAAGTAAAACTGGAAAAATAAAAATGAAAACTTAGTAATAAGATGATGTATGGATAATGATAAAAAAGATGTTAATTTAGAATTATAAATGTTGTATACATTGGCAAGACAGTTATAGATGAAGAAATACACAAAAACACCAATGTGTGTGATCGCACTATCAACACACATCGGCATACACACACACACACACACACACACACACATATATATATATATATATATATATATATATATATATATATAATAATAATAATAATAATAGACACTCCCGTCGGTTTCGACGTATGAGGATCTGACAGCTTATTGAATCAGTTATGAAAGTTTGTGCGATAATCTTAAGTGGCATTTAAGACCCGCCAGTGATTTACAAAGGAGGCCACATATGGAGCAAGTGTGAGGATTGTGAGATGAGATCACTGTTAGATTGGCTGACCTTTTAGATCTTGCTCTCGCTTCTTGAAGATGATTCAGAGAAGCAGATTGAAAATTGCTGAGTCCACTAAAACACATTGACCTCCATTCTACCCGCTCCAAGGCGAAGCGCTCAAGGGTGTTTTGAGGCATATTGACTGCTGACAAGTTGCTTTTCAGCTTGTCTTTGTATCTTAGCCATGGGCATCTTACATTCCTGTAGCCCTGATCTAGCTGGCTGTACATCTTGGTATCCTGTCATCAGACATTCTCAAGACATGACCAGTCCACTGTAAATGAGACTGGATGATAATAGTTTCAATTCCTCCAATATTACACCTGTTAAACAGGTCTATGTTAGATGCCCTATCTTGAAGCTTAACTCCACAGATTGCACACAGACAGCTTTTATGGAAAACATTTAGCTGGTGTATATGGTACCTGTATGGAGTCCACGACTCTGAGCCAAACAAAAGGATGGCAAGTACAACAGCTCTGTAAACCCGAATTTTCGTATCCAGTTGAATACCCTGCTCATTCCACAAGCAATAGCAAAGTTTGCCGAAAGCACTGGTAGCCTTAGCAATCCGATGCATGATTTCATCATCTAAAGTTACACTGTAATTGACTTTGCTACCAAGATAGGTGAAAGACTTTACATATATATATATATATATATATATATATATATATATATATATTTATATACATACACAGGTAATAATCCATTGGTATATAATCCAAGGGAATCCTAATAATACAAAATATTAAAACTGATCCACAAAAAGAGCTCAATGTATTATAATAAAGCATATAAATTACATAGAAAAGAAATCCAAATATACCTCATCCAAATAGCCATTTCAACCAACAAGAAAACCTATATTGGCATTGTCAACTCAGAAGTTTGAAGAAATAAAATTGGAACCTTCCTAATTTATTCCTTCATACTTCTGAGTTGTCAATACCAATATAGGTCTTCTTGTTGGTTGAAATATCTATTTGAATGAGGTAAATTTGGATTTCTATTCTATGTAATATATATATATATATATATATATATATATGTTCACACCACAAAATCGCTTTCATGACACTTGACTCTACATTTGAATGATAACTCTAACATTTTTAGGCATTTAAAATAACATGCCTGGCCGCGTACACAATTCCAGAAAATCCTCGTTGAAAACACAACTATACTTAAGCATGAAAACAATAAACAAAAACTAAAAAATTCTTGAAGCTATATACATAAAACAGTTGAAACCTAACCTGAACAAAATAAACTACAAAATCTCCACAAATATTCTTAAATGCCTATAATTGATAACAGAAGCCATTGGTTTATGCCAACGGCTTCCCATACTTAATACTTCTCATTTTCACTCTCACGTAGTCTTATCACGAACTGCGATGCGATTTTAGCTTCCGTGTCTCATATACACGAGTTTGCCGTTGCTTTGAAAATTTTCATTCAACAAAAACAGACTATCATTATTGTTTTGTCCGTGTATTGTTTGATATATTGAAATGTAATTGTCATCTTTGATAATGGCTTATGTAAGGCGAAAGCTTAGATAGGATTAAAACAAGTATTAGTATGGTGATTTCCTTTCGTCTTTCAATGATAATGTTGTCAAGCTTATCAGACAATATGAAAGGAACTTACTTAAAATAAATAGACAAAACTTGTCTGTGTTATTTAATGAAACATGCATCAATATATATATATATATATATATATATACTCAAGTGGATAAATATAAATAAATGTACATGTAAGTGTTCAAATACATACATATCCTTTGGTGTAAGAAAAACAGTGCTTAGTGCTAAATAGCGGAGCTATTAAGTATATATTAATAAATATACATAAGATCCCACACTGACAGTATAATGAAAAGGGTTGATTTATCAGAAATATATTAATTGTACATTAAGATTAGGTTTTAGCTCTTGGTATAAAATATATATCACAGTGAATCCTATATTTTTATTAGTTTTACTTTGATTTCTATTATTTTTAGTGATTTCAAATGAGTGTTTTTTTTTTCTTTTGCAGGAAATAACAGACAAATCTGTTCCCAAACAAACGAAAGGAAAGAAAGACCAAGTGTCCAAAATAGTTTACACAGAAGAAGAAAACGAAAAGGTTAGTCCCATTTATAATGCTTTTTCTTCTTCTATGTACTGTGTCCCTTCAGAATGTTGGTGATCATGGCTCTCCACAATTTCCTGTCCTTTGTAGCTCTTAGTAAATTTTGTCTTTTTGCTATCTCTCCTAATCCCTATTCTGCCAGCCTTTTAGACAGGCTCATTCTTCTTCTATGTATAAGTGGTATATCAGACTCAGATCTTAAGTTCAAAATGTAATTCTATGACATCATACTGTGTGATAGACTGAAGTATAACAACAGAACCAACATCTGGATGCAATGTAATGTGTTGTGACTAGTTTGAAATGTAATTTTGTTGAGTGTTGATTGCATCATTTTAATGTAGATGGCCTTCAATACCTGAAGGTTCTTTTTACTGTATGTGTGAGTATTATTGTGTTATCAACTAATATCTGCCTAATATTATGTACAATGGCTACTTTTGTCTTTATTTTCACCACAAATAAGAGCAAACATTTGAACATTATCCAACATTTAGATATTTTTTTATTAATTTGGTCCTAAGATTTCGGCTCACATGAGCCATCCTCAGTGTGGTTATACAGACATGAAAAAAAGATATCCACCATCAAAGAAGATATTTTGTTATTTTGACATAGAAGATTGCTATGCGAGGATAACGGTCGCAGAATAGCAGACGGAGGCCATAAGTTCAAGATGCAGTTCTATGGTGTCATACCACACGATAGATCAAAGTGTTACAACAGAATCAATATCTAGATGCAATATAATGCATTGTGACTAGTTTGAAATGTAATTTTGTTGAGTGTTGGTTGCGTTGTTTTAATATAGAGGGCCTCCAATGTCTGAAGGTTCTTTTTACTGTGTATATGCATGAGTATTATTGTGTTATCAAATAATATCTGTCTAATATATATGTTTATATTTATTTTTTTTTGTGTGTGCGTGTAATGTTCAAAATTTTGATGCACAGCAGTCAAGACTCCCATTCATGCCCACACGCAAAAAGCTACCACGCTGAAAACTACAAAGTGACCACTCCGAACAACAGTGGCACAGTTCACTGTAAGAACTAAATTCTATCTCTTGTATCCCCCATTACTACTTATTATTTTGCACCCTCCCCCTCAATTGTTACACAGAAAAAAAAAAAAAAATATATATATATATATATATAATATATATATATATGAGGCCCGGTGGAGTAATGGATAGCGGCTTGGATTGAGGAATCGGTGAGCCGAGTTCGAATTCCAGTCAAATCCATTACATTCACTTACGTGCTAATACCCTTGGGAAAGGTGTGAATCCTCTTCTTCTCCCTCCAGCTATGGGTAAATAGCAGGACAGACTGGGTTCTATAGTCTTGGATGGCAACTGGTCTAGGAGAAGGACAACTCTGAATTCAAAACCTGCGGAGGGTCGTTTGGGGACCTTGTGGCATTCGGTGCACCAGGTCTCTGTATTCGTCCCTTCAAAAAGTGTGGCTGGTCCTGCACGAAACCTTCACCACTAATCAAATCTCATGTGCTGTTGTCGGGGTGTCGGTTTCCTGGTAACTGATCTGCTTGACCCTCATATGTCGAATTTGACAGGAGAGTCGACTATATATATATATATATATATATAATTATTTATTCGAAATTTATTCGAAATGTAGATTTTATCTCTAAAAAAAGGAGGTTTTTTTTGTGTGTAGCAGTCGAGGAGCAGTGTGCAAAATTTTGACGTGAGATGCACACAAGTCAAGATCCCATTTATGTCCAAACACAACAAGCTAACCCGCTGAAAACTCCAAAGAGGCCTCTCCAAAGAACAACGATATTAATGAATGGCGAGTCATAAAGGGTGTTTCATTAAGACGGATTATATATAAGGATGTTTCATTAAGACGGTTCAAAGTCAGCATCCACATTAAGTACTAAATTCTCTTTCTTGTATCACCTGTAAGTACTATAAAGCACGCACACACGTACTTGCTGTTTCACACAAACGATGGCCCACCCTAACAAATTCAAATTATATCTGTTCTTGAAAAGAAAAAAGAAATATATAACAATATTTCAGTTTCTTACGTACATACATACATAAATTATATTTATTTTTTTCTTCCTAATTGGCCCTAAAAAAGAAATAAAATACAGTTAAATTTGTAAAACAAATATTCAACACGACTAATGTTGCCTGTAACTCATGCCTGTTCCTCATAATTCTTATTTAACTAAAGTTTTTCTTTTTTTTTCTTTTCAAAAACAAATATAACTTGAATTTGAGCAGGTCAGTCATCGTTATTTTGTACACTTCCCTCAATTGTTGCACAAAAAAAAAAAAAATATTGTACTTGGATTAAAGAAAAATTACTTATAATACATATTACTTGTAATAATTCCTTCTTGCCATTAATTTTGATGGCACGGGTACGCTGGTATATATATATATATATATATATATATATATATATATATACACTCATCAATGTTCGCTTAGTGCAGGTTTAAATAAAGGAATAAGCAGACTCTGAAATTACAGATTGAATCTACAGACTGTCAAGGTTTGCTCAGACCTTGAACAGTTTACACAACAAATAGTCTGCTTCGGGAAATTTTGCAGTAAACATAGTTTTGTTGGTAAATATGTAACATTTATCTTTTCCTTAGGCGTTTATAAATTGTACACTGTTTGATTATTATCATTAACAACAAACTATTTTAAATTACAAAATTGTACTTGAATTAAATAAACGAAAATTACAGTATAATACATATTACTTATAATAATTCCTTCTTGCTGTGAATTTTGATGGCATGGGTACATTTGTATTAGAATAATCCAGAACTTATGCTGGGAGCAAACCACCCACAGAAAATGAATTCAGTAAATTTGTAAAATTAGAAATAGGTGTAAGACAAGGATGTGTCTGCCAACAAGATTTATTCAACCTATACAGTAAGGCAACCTTGAGAACTAGAAGTCCTATCAGGATTAATTATTAGTGAAAACAATCTTAACATCATAAAATATGCAGTGCTGATAACAGACATAATAAGGAAACTGAAGTAAAGGAAAGCAAGAAGAAAGGACTAAGCATCAACTGCAAAAATATAGAATTTATGATTGTTAGCAAAAGAAACAGCCCAACATTGAAATTACAAACTGGCAATACTAAAATCAAGCAGGTACAAAAATTTAACTATCTGGAAAGTGTTTTAACAGGGCGCCGGAAAATGTGATACTGGAATCCAAAGATGTATTGCTATAATGAAAGTGCCTTCCAAATCTAAGTAAAGTATTAAGAAACAGGAAAATTTATTTAGAAACAAAAAGAGACTGTTAAACTGTTATTAAATATCAGTCCTCCAATATGTTAGTGAATACCAGACAATCTCCTCATATAAGAGACTTGAGGCAAGAGAAATGTGGTTCTACAGAAGCATACTGAGAATCCCATGGACTGAACATGTGAGTAATGAGGAAGTTTTAAGGAAGATGGAAACAAAATGACACCATGAAATGGACTGAACATGCTTGAAAATTTGATAATTACAGGAAGCTTTTCAAAGGAAGATGGAAAAAAAAGTATATGGACAGAACAAGGTTTATACACAAAAAGACAAAAAATCAAAAAGAAATTGTGGAGATGATTGAAATTTCCTGGGGAAAACATCATGAGGAGATAGCAAAGACAAAAAGATAAGGGCTTAGAAAATTTTTGAGAGGAAATTGGGGAGAACCATGATCGCCTATATCCTGATTGGCTGTCCTAAACTCAGAACAGGACAAGAGCTACAAAAGAGAGGAAATTGTGGAGAGCCATGATGCCTATATCCTGATTGGCTATGTCCTAAATGGGAAGTTCTTGAGTAAAATGGCAGAACAAGGTTTAGGAGAGATAGCAAAAGATAAAAATGTATAACCTATGTCCTAAAAAAACTTGAAGAATGAGCTTGAGTAAATGGATGGCAGAACAAGGTTTAGGAGGAGATAAAAAAAAGACAAAATTTATTAAGAGTACAAAGGACAGGAAATTGTGGCAGAGCCATGATTGCCTACATTCTGAAAAGAGACCTGGCATATATAGTCCTAAATGGGAAAAAAATAGAAGAAGAAGTAAATGGAAGAACAAGGTTTGAATAAATGAATGGCCAAAAAGAGAGGAAAGAACAGACTATATTTGGCTATGTCCTAAATGGGAACGTATAATAGAAGAATGAGCTTGAGTAAAAATGGATGGAGATAGCAAAAAGACAAAATTTATTAAGAGCAAAAATAAGATTGTGGAGGCCAAGGATCGCCCATATCCTGATTGGAGTCCCAAATGGGAAACCATGAATTGGCTATGTCTAGAATAGCAAAAAAAGATAAAATATAATAGCTAAAAAGAATGAAATTTGAGTAAATGGATGGCAGAACAATGATTTAAATGGATGGCAGAATAGTTTGGAAAAGACAAAATTTATTAAGAGCTACAAAAGAGAGGAAATTGTGGAGAACCATGATCGCCTATATCCTGATTGGCTATGTCCTAAATGGGACGTATAATAGAAGAATGAGCGTAAATGTATAGGTTTAATAGCAAAAAAGAATGAGCTTGAGTAAATGGATGGCAGAACAAGGTTTAGGAGAGATAGCAAAAAGATAAAATTTATTAAGAGCTAAAAAAGAGAGGAAATTGTGGAGAGCCATGATCGCCTATATCCTGATTGGCTATGTCCTAAATGGGAACGTATAATAGAAGAATAATAGAAGAATGCAAAAGCTTGAGTAAAAAAGAGAGGAAATGGATGGCAGAACTAAAGGTTTAGTAAATGGAGATAGCAAAAGATAAAATTTATTAAGAGCTACAAAAGAGAGGAAATTGTGGAGAGGAGAGCCATGATCGCCTATATCCAAGGTTTAGGAGAGATGATTGGCTACAAAGAGAGGAAATGTATATCCTGATTGGCTATGTCCTAAAAATAATAGAAGAATGAGCTTGAGTAAATGGATGGCAGAACAAGGTTTAGGAGAGATAGCTAAAAAGTATAATAGAAAAATTTATTAAGAGCAAAAGATAAAATTTATTAAGAGCTAAAAGAGAGGAAATTGTGGAGAGCCATGGCCTATATCCTGATTGCTTATGTCCTAAAGAACGTATAATAGAAGAATGAGTTTGGATGGCAGAACAAGGTTTAGGAGAGATAGCAAAAAGATAAAATTTATTAAGAGCTACAAAAGAGAGGAAATTGTGGAGAGCCATGATCGCCTATATCCTGATTGGCTATGTCCTAAATGGGAACGTATAATAGAAGAATGAGCTTGAGTAAATGGATGGCAGAACAAGGTTTAGGAGAGATAGCAAAAAGATAAAATTTATTAAGAGCTAAAAAAAAAAGGAAAAAAATTTATTAAGCTATGCTAAATGGGAACGTATAATAGAAGAATGAGCTTGAGTAAATTGGCAGAACAAGGTTTAGGAGAGATAGCAAAATGATAAAATTTATAAGATCCTGATTATATCCTATGTCCTAAATGGGAACGTATAATAGAAGAATGAGCTTGAGTAAATGGATGGCAGAACAAGGTTTAGGAGAGATAGCAAAAAGATAAAATTTATTAAGAGCTAAAAAAGAGAGGAAATTGTGAGATGATCGCCTATATCCATTGATCAAATGGGAACCTGGCAGAACAATATCCTGATTGGCTATGTCCTAAATGGGAACGTATAATAGAAGAATGAGCTTGAGTAAATGGATGGCAGAACAAGGTTTAGGAGAGATAGCAAAAAGATAAAATTTATTAAGAGCTACAAAAGAGAGGAAATTGTGGAGAGCCATGATCGCCTATATCCTGATTGGCTATGTCCTAAATGGGATGAGCTTGAGTAAATATAATAGAAGAATGAGCTTGAGTAAATGGATGGCAGAACAAAAGATAAAAATTTTTAAGAGCTAAAAAAGAGGAAATAGCAAAAGACAACATTTAGCTTTAAATGGATGCAAGGTTTAGGAGAGATACAAAAGATAAAATTTATTAAAGGAGAGGAAATTGTGGAGAACCATGATCGTCCATATCCTAAATGGACATGCCACATGAAAGAAGAAGGATCAAGCTGAAGGAAGTTATCTCTCACAAGAATGGAGATGATAGTTTGAATGGCACATAGAATAGTTTTATAGCTGTTTTATAATTCTACAGGTGTTCTCTAATACTGAATTTAGTTTTATTTAGTATAAAATGACTAATATGAAGAGGTGTAAACATGGAATAAATATAAGATGAAAGAAAAACGAGTCTAAAATTAATAACAATATATGATTCAAGACCTTCTGTATACCAATAACTGTCACCCAAATAGGCAATGCAACCTCTGAAGGATAAACTTCTTTTTGTCTTACTATCAGCTTGGATAAGATGGTGGTCGCATTCCAAGCTTTCTTTACATCAAACCATCAATATTAGTGGATGGCCCCAACCTGAATTTGGTAGACAAATCCACGTACCTTGCAAGCACTATAAATAGATACTGCACCCTTGACAATGCAATATTTGCTCACGTGAAGAGAGCCACTGATACTTTTGCAGCTCTAAAAGATAGTCTCAGAGAGGTACACAAAGATGGCGGCCTACAAGGTCCATGTACTGAAGTGGCTGCCATACTCTTGTGAGTCATGGGTTGCATACCAGGCACTTAGACACTTTGGAGAGATTCCGCCAATGATGTTTAAAATTGATTCTTGATATCCACTAGGTATCTCACATGCCAGATAGTCAAAATTTTCGGGTTAGGATTTAATGAGGAAAGAGGGCTTGGAGAATTTGACACTCACAGGACATAATGGAGGCAAGAGGAACAGAGGAAAACAGGAAGTAACCTACCTAATTTGCATAAATGGATGGCTGAACAGGGACTGGGAAGATGGTGAAAAAACAAATGTTATTTAGAGCTACAAATTTAGGAAGTTGTGAAGAGCCATGATCATCAACGTCGTGAAGAGACATGGCATTTGAAGAAGTTTGTACTTGATCAGTGTCCCATCGGACAATTTAGAGGTGCAATTTTGGTGTTTTAACTCTAATGTCTACTTTTTCCTGATAAAAAGCTTCTATCTTCTTTATGTGCTATGTCACCTCAGGATGTAGGTGATCATGACTCTCCACAACTTTCTCTCCCTTGTAGCTCTTAATGATTTCTGTCTTCTCATTATTCTAGACCAATGATTTCCAACATGGGGCGCATACCCCACTGGTGGGGCATGGTAATATTTGGGTGGGGCATGCATAGGATGTGCACCCTTCGGCTTACTATACCAACATGAGCTCAAATTTCATTCTGCTTCATTATTTCATGATTAAAATGATCAAATTATACAGGATGTCCATAAAGTTCGTGTGCACTTTTAAAAAATATATTTTATTTGTATTTGCGATAGAAATAATCAGTAAAAATGATTAGAAAGAAGTAAATCTATATTTTTTTAAGATTTCATTGAAATTTTATTTAAGTTTCAACATGTCCTCCATCATTAGCAATACAAAGGGTAATATGATTTTGCAGTTCACGGAAAACATTTGCCAACTGATTTACAGTAATGCCTGAAATCAAATTAGTTATTTTAGCTATACTTAAAACTAGGTACTTTAAACTTTATAACATTTTTTACAGATTATTTCTATCGCAAAGACAAATAAAGTTATAAATTTTTTAAAGTGCACACGAACTTTATGGACACCCTGTATTACAGAATAAGCTTTCATTCAAATATTTTATATTTCTGCCTCTCATTTCTCTATTACATGTTTTTAAACTATATATATTTAAATGTCATTTTGTTTTTTTTAATTTTTCTATTTCATAGACACCATGGTCTTTGGAGGCTTGTTTAGAGACCAAGTTAATGGCTTTTGAAGCTTCCTTCATGTGAATTGCAATAAAATTTTGAATATGTAAGAATTCAATATCACAGGGGGTCACCAGAATTTTAGAAATACCAAAGTGGGACATGGTCCAAGATCAGTAGGGAACTACTGCTCTAGATCCACTGCCGACATCCATTTTCATAAGTTTGTCAAGTAGGTTGAATAAAATGTTAGTTCTCTTTGTGTCCAATGGCATTAAGAGCATTTAGTGTTAACCCTTGTATTTGATAGCACTTAAAGAGAAAGAGAGAATATAGTCAAATGAAATTGATTATGGCTAGCGATACACTTTGAATAATCTTCATTTGCCATTATGTGGTACCTTGTAGAATTTATGTTCTCAGACATTTGTAATTCTTTTCAGGTTGTCTTGACTGTCGAGAGTAAACTTTTCAATTACCATGACAAACATTCAGAATTCTTCAACAACAAAAACAATTGGGTAAGTAATTCTTAAAAATCATTTATATGAAAAAGTAGATCCATCAAGGGAATAATAAAAGCTATTTGCTCTGTCTTGTAAACAAGACATATTCCCAGTACTGATGAAGGCTAATTCCGAATTTCATTTAAGGATGTTGGAATCTATTTCTATTAAGTCTTACCAGCCATCTCTCTGTAAGCAAAAAGAGTACTTAAAAATGTGATTAGCCTGTAATTTTTGTATAGTTATTGTATTTGCTATTTGATGTTCATTTTATTCAATGTGCACTTTTCTCCCTTCAATTGAGCTTTGGTGTGAGACAACCGATAAACTGGTTTAGCTACTTTTTTGCTAATCATGTATTTTGAAATTACCACTTTATAGTAATGATATTTGTTTTTGCTATCTATTATTTTCTTTTATTAACTTGTCTGTTTTTGTTGCTTTAACATCTTTTTTTACTCTACTGTTTAACCTATAGCTGGGGGTAGAAGGTCAGATGGATTTGTGCCATTCCAAAGCACAGAAGATTAATCACCTTTCAGAATATGCTGCTGTAGAATACCTACAGACGATAATGAGTATGCCCCATTCCTATAAATACCGTAGTGAATACTGTATATGGTCTAGAGTTGGAGATTCTTTGTGGAATTCACTTGACTTATTTCTAGCAGTCAACTAATTCTATACACTGTTGGTGAAACTTATATGTGTTGTTCTTGTCCTAAGTGTTATTGTTCATTACCAACCTTTGTTTGATTATTCTATTCAGTAACCTTCCTTAGGTTACAACATATACCCAGCTATAGTTTAGTCTAGTCCACAATAACCCCCAGGTGTAACTGTGTCTAGCCTGCTTTATACCTCAGGGTATAAAAGGGCTTCTTCTAAACTTTGCCCACAGCAAAGAACTTCAACAGGAGAGAAAAGTGGACAGTTTTAAACTGGGTAAGTTAATCACTGGACCTCAACAAAATAGAGCATGCATTTAATATCTTAAAGAGGAGAATGAAAGGAGGAAAACAAAATGGAACTGAAAGAGGCTCCGTTAAAAGTCTGGAAAAGCTTCACAAATGAAGAATTCAACAGTTTGGTGATGTCGACGGGTCGCAGGGTTGATACAGTTATTGCAAGCGAGGATTATGCAACCAAATATTAAATTACTTACATCATTTACATTATTCAAACTGTTATGCTCATCTTCATTGCCATATTCACAATGTTCCGGCTATTGTACACACCAGCCTTCTTCAGGTCATTGGAATTTCCAACCAAACACTTTACTTAATCTGCCATGCTAGGTTGGTCTAGTTCCACGTGCCATGCCTCTTCTGGAAGATTAAGCTGAGGATAACAGTCCGAATAGTGTAAATAATGTAAGTAACCATAATATCTCATCTCAGAGATATAGACAGATATCAAATATCAAATGTTATTAACTTTAAGACTATCTGTTCCTTTACTTTTGCTCACCTAAAAGTCAGATGATCTGATACAAAAGGTGTCATGTCCTAAGTGTAAATGCCAGGAAAAAAAAACTGAAATTCTGAACTTTTGTCTCTTATTCATCCTTTAGATCTTCAACCCAAATGTCTTCAGTGAACAATTAAAACGAAGTAATTGGCCTTGTCATTCCAATATTTTTGGTGGGAAATATAACTATATATATATATACATACATATATATATATATATATATATATATATATATATATATATATATATTGAACAATAAAAATATTAAAAAATTAAAATCTTTAGGTACACTGGGTTGTATATTAATATTCTTCCTTTTTTTAGTATTATTTCATTTAGATTCCTCAAATTGTTTTGGCCATAAGGAGAAAAAATAATTTTCTGCTTGTTGGTAGCAGTGAACTACAGAAATGAATGTCTTGATGTAGAGAATGAACTTTTGTCTGTAGTTTTCATTTGTTTTTTTATTATTTTATTTTTTTTAACATGAATTTTGGTCAGTCCTTGTGTTGGTCAAACAATCTGGATGGATTCATGCTGCTCTGAATTCCCTTGGTCATTTTGACATTTTTATTGTTTCCTGGAAAGGGGATGTGTTAAGTGTGTGTGTGTGTTATTTGGTTCTTAGGGAGTGAGTGAGTATTATGTGTGTGGGTGTGTGTATAAGTGTGAGGCCTCAACACCTCCGTAAGCATGTCTGTCTTGTGTGGGTGAGAAATGTGGGTAGGTTTGTGGGGTTATATATTAATACTATCTATATTGTAAAATTTGTGGTTAAGCCCAGCTGGATAGTGCATTTTTAAACGTATCCACTTATTTTCATGGGACTCTAAAATCTTTCTAATGTTATCTGCTCTGAACTTTTCTATTCTCTCAATTATAGTGAATTTGGCATGGGTTTTAAAATCGTGTTTTTCTAGGCGGAAATGTTGTTCTACAGGTAATAATCTTTCATGGGGAGTCGACTCAATTCGATTGCAATAATTATTAATTCTGTAGTGAAAGGGCCATTCAGATTTTCCTACATATTGTTTCTGGCATAGTGTGCATTCTAGGAGGTAAATTATGTTATGACTTCTACAGTCAGAGTCGTGGTAGATATTGAAAGTAGATTATATATATATATATATATATATATGAAAATATATAGAAAATAGGAAGGAATTGGTTAGGTAAATAATCCAAAGTCCCTTAGTATTTTAGTTATTATTTTTAAAAAATATTGCTCGATACAAAAGTAGAGCATAAATATAATTATTTATTTAAAAATATGATTCCAAATCGCGACATAAGAAGTCCCATGTTTCAAAACAAGAGCCGAAAACTTCAATATAATAAAATTATTTAAATTAAATTGAGTTAAAATAAGCTCTGTTCCATCTTCAAGCGAAATTTTTTTGGAATAACGCATTTCTGAAATTTACGTGTTTTAAAAATTGAAATCAAAATCTCCATGGTAACAGCTAGGGCGAATTGTTTAAATTGGGTAGGCGGGTGTTGGGTGTTAATAATAAGTATCAGTATAGAGTTAATTTCGTAGATGTCAAGTCAGGGAAAGGGGGTGTATAATTTGAAACAGAAGATGTATCAACCCTCGTCTAGTTTGCATGTCTATGGAGATTTATTTATTTTTTATTTTATTTTTTTTATGAAAGGGATTTGTGCATATAAAAAAACTGTCGTAACGTTTGTTTTTTGACGACTTCATAAAGGGTTATCTTTTTTTAGGGTATTTAAACTATTTATTTGGGCTATGTTCTTATGCACATCGTCTTTGTCATGTTGTATTGATAATGTTATAATTTATGAAGATGTCCTGAAGATGGTTTATTAGACCGAAACGTCCGACGTTGACATATTAACATTAAAACAGCATAATTGTATATAAGGATTTTTGTTTGTTTCTTCCGTATATATTTTTCTTCATACTGTCGGATCTATATCCATATATTTGCTTATTAATATATATATATATATATATATATATATATATATATATATATATATATAAAGAAATATAGTCTTAAGGTGTGCTATATTTATGGGATAAAGTGCTCAATATCAGAGATAGAGCGTGTGTAAATATAAAGTGAACATGATTCAACACTTAGGCGACGGTCTGTTTCATGCTATATGCAATCGTCAGCATATAGCATGAAAACAGAATATAGTGTTGCTATGTTCACTTTTATATTTATATATATATATATATATATATATATATGAGAAAGCTGAGTTTGATTTCCAGTCAAGTTCATTACATTCACTTACATGCAAATATCCTTAGGAAAGGTAGGAAGCCATCTCTTCTCACCCCCACCCACCCTAACCTCCACCTACCAGCTATGGGTAAATGTCAGAACAGTTTGAATTAATACAAATGACATTTTTCACTTAGCTGATTGATTTTATATTTTGCACCTAGACTCTAGAGTTTCGTAGATGAACAATTTAGTTCTGTCTACTCGTCAGGAGGTTTCTGATGCACAATGACTAGAATGAACATCTAAGAGCAAATGTTAGACAATAAATATATAACAACTGCTGTATAATCACGTTTAAGCTTAACAACTATTCCTTTTTATATAAATATATGAAGGGTGCTGAAAAAGTTCCCAGACCAACCCACTTCCCAAAACCTAACTAAATGACCACACATTAGAAATTGATTTGCAACCATTTCTTGGTCAGACTGAGAAATCTTCACTTCCCCATCCTATTTATAAGTCCAGCTTCTCTAAGTTGTCTCCATGTATAAAATCTCTCACCCTTTCCTGCCCTATATCTAAGAGGGCAATGGAAAGCTACTGACAAATTATTCTGGTATATCGTAATTTGTCCTGGGACAGTTCTCATATATGCGTCTGCATACATGCTCAAATATACAAAAATGCGGACATGTACACTTGCAGCACCCCAAAGACATGATTAATATTTTCTCCCTTGGACACAAAGCCTCCCCTCTCTATTTTCCATCCCTGACCCTTATAATTCTAATTTGTCACCAAGGACCCTTTATTCAGTTGATGAGCCTTTGCTGAATTCAGGCATATTGAGTGCACTGTTTGGGAACTCACACAGAATTCAGTACACAATCCAAGGTTTTTAGGGGCAATTGCTTTCAACTTGGGGCCCTCCTTTATCCTTTTCTCTAATCAATCAATGCTAACCCTAACCCAACCCCTTCTGATTTTCATTCCAGGGCTACAAAATATCTGCCTGTCTTTTGCCAAACCTGCTAGCCGATTTTCAACAGACTATCTTTTTCCATGCCAAATTTCTATACATCTCTTTTCATTTGCTTGCCTACTCGCCTCCTTAGCCCTGCCATTTTCTCATTCGCCGTTTGGTTCAATCACACACTTTCATTTATTCGATCATTTGTTTTCTTTCATTCCAATTCAGTTAATTCATTGTCATTTTTCACCTCTCCTTCCTTGGTCATTCCCCTTTTTAACAGCCTCGGCCTTTTTGTTTCTTTCCTTTTCCTTGTCTCTGTTTGCTGAGCAGGAAATGCAATATGCCAACAATGACGACAGGAC